AAAAAATCTGCATGGATTTTTGGCAATAGCTGGTAGTTCCATCAATTGAAAAGGTACCACTTTAGTGACAGCTTTTGTACCATTTTTTTCTGAGAGTGTCATATGCTATTCTGAACAATGGCTGCATCTGAAATCACATACTTCCATACATACAATATATTAGACGAAAAACTGTATGTGAAAAGAGCAGTATGTCCGAATTCACAGCATTCTTAAAACAGTAGGCTATGTGGAAGTATACAAATTACTTACAACTTCGGAATCTAATGGACACTTACTTTACTATCCCATGAAGCCACAGGGAAAGGATTTGTGAATAGCAGTGAAGTGACTCAGCTGACACTGGTAGGTCACATGACAGTGACAATATGACAAATGCAGTACATCCAGATTTCATTCATACTACTTCACACATTCATTCTATATTTACTTATTCAAAAAAAGTACCTGCACAGGGAGTATGTGATTTCGGATGCAGCCAATGAAAAGGAAAAATACCTTTTCCTTGATCTCAAAATGGCTGCCACCATGAAGGAGGTACTGTCGGAACGAGGAGCGAAGGAGCGAGGAGACGCGGAGATGAGGGAGAATCCTTGAAGAGTCTTTATTGAACAAAACCAGGGAATCACACACATAGGTCATAAAATAGACGTTTAACACTGGACGCAGGACACAGGAAAACACAGGGCTTAAATACCGGGAATTAAACGATGACCTGGCATCAATAAACATATAAACAAGGGAGAAAGGGAGGTAATGGGGAGCACATGGGGGGCAAAACACAAGACACAGGAACACAGGGCTGACATTACCTTCCCCTCCCGGAAGGCGCGTCCACGTGCCACATAACTTCCAACGGGGAGGGGGCGTGGGCGCTCTGGAGGCCTCCACGGACAGGCTTACTTGGGACGGAAGCCCTCCAGGGTGGTACCCGTTCCAGGACCCATGACGGATCAGGCAGTCCAGGGAGCCATGGCGGAGCAGGGAGCTCAGGGGGCCATGGCGGAGCAGGCAGACTGGGGAGCCATGGTGGAGCAGGGAGCTCAGGGGGCCATGGCGGAGCAGGCAGACTGGGGAGCCATGGTGGAGCAGGGAGCTCAGGGGGCCATGGCGGAGCAGGCAGACTAGGGAGCCATGGCGGAGAAGACAGACTAGGGAGCCATGGCGGAGAAGGCAGACTACAGAGCCATGGCAGAGCAGGGAACTCAGGGGGCCATGGCGGAGCAGGCAGACTAGAGAGCCATGGCAGAGCAGGGAACTCAGGGAGCCATGCCGGAGAAGGCAGACTAGAGAGCCATGGCAGAGCAGGGAACTCAGGGGGCCATGGCAGAGCAGGCAGACTAGGGAGCCATGGTGGAGAAGGCAGACTAGGGAGCCATGGTGGAGCAGGCAGACTAGGGAGCCATGGCAGAGCAGGCAGACTAGGGAGCCATGCAGAGCAGGCAGCTCGGGGAGCCATGGCGGTGCAGACAGTTCAGGAGGCCATGCGGGGAGCCGGGAGCAGACAGATCAGGGGACCTGGGCCTCGGCACTCGGCCTGGCCTCTACGGCCAAAAAAAACCCTCTCTGGGCTGGGACATGGGAACAGAAGCCCTCTCTGGGCTTAACTTGGGAACAGGAGCCTTCTCTGGGCCTAACTTGGAAACAGGAGCCCTCTCTGGGCTGGACGTGGGAACAGGGGCTGGAGCTGACAGAGGAGCGGACTCAGGGGCTGGAGCCAACACTGGAGCGAACTCAGGGGCTGGAGCCGACACTGGAGTGGACTCAGGGGCTGGAGCCAACAGTCTTTTTCTCCGCATTCTCCTCTTTTGAGCAGAGGTGAAGGAGACTGCTGCTGTCAGCTGAGGGCTTGGGAGTAAATTGGCCAGCGGGCTTGACAATGGAACGGCCGGTGGGCTTGACCCGATCAAGTTGGACGGAAAACAAAACACTTTCAAAACATGGAAACAAAAATGGGGAGAAGGGGCGCCGCTTATTGTTATTTGGTCCTGTCTTTTGTCACGATCTGCCTACTGTGTCGGAACGAGGAGATGCGGAGACGAGGGAGAATCCTTGAAGAGTCTTTATTGAACAAAACCGGGGAATCACACACATAGGTCATGGAGTAGACGTTTAACACTGGACGCAGGACACAGGAAAACACAGGGCTTAAATACCGGGAATTAAGCGAGGAACACCTATCAATGAACATAATAAACAAGGGAGAAACTGGGTAATGGGGAGCACATGGGGCAGACTAGGGAGCCATGGTGGAGCAGGCAGCTGGTGACAGGTACCACCCTTATGGAGATTAAACATTTTTCTGATATGATATGGATTCTGATATGGATTCTGTATGTTGAAATACTGTTCAAATGCACAATTCATGTAGTCATTTATGAAGTGAAATGCTAGGTGCTCCTTTAAAGAGGCTAAAAGCGACCACATATCGTCAGAGCTCTGTTGTATTGTTAATGTTTTTTTACTGAAGTTTTCTTTCTTTTATAGGTCAGATGACCTTAGCTGGCTGAAGCTGCAGCCCATGTGACCACTAACAACAGTTTGAACTCCGAATCATCAGAATTCAGCCATTCTGTCCACAGTCCATCCCATCCAATCATGCCTTTACTCAGAAGATGTTTTTTTGTAACATTTATAAAGGCCAGTGCATTACAGTAGCTTTGTACACAGTTCACAAAGAGTTTGCCATTTTAACACTGATATTCAGAGAGGAGAACCACTATACTCACATACGACTATGAAAAAATTTGAAGAATTTATACTGTTCTTGCTGCAGTTCTCTGAGAAAAATTGAGATTTTGCCAGTAAGTTCAGGTTCAGACCCACTTTTCTGAATATGAACACAATCCTATATTTATTTTAATCTGTATTTATTATTAAGATAACATATTTAGGATTTTTTTTTTGTAAATATCATCTAGTTTGTATAGCTCATTTACTCAATGTTTAGAAAGAAAATTAGATGTAATAGAGTTAATCAATAATTACGTACAGTAACTCTGACATACTATGTGCTTGATAGATCTAGGTGGCATTGTTGGTCATCAAGCTGTGAAATGGAGCATGGGTAGTGGAAAAATAGACAATCATGAGCGCACGTCCAATCATAGCGCTTAGGAGGATTAGATGAACACTGAGCAAAGGATGCTGAATGTGACGGTGGTCACAAAAGGGGGAGCATATATAATAGAGCTGGACAAACATGTTACAAAAGACCATATTACAAAAGAAATGCTGATCTGCTCTCTTATATCGCCTCTTATTCTCTCTCTCTTCTACCACGCAACCCAGTTTTCGATCTCAAATCCTCATAACTCACTTCTGTTCTTATCAGCAAGAATTTGTGCAGCGATATATGGGTCATATACGACAGTCCAAATCTGGAGGTGATATGTGGGCCATGAAATAGAGCTTAGACCTTAAGAAACTATGTAGCAGAGAATTGACAAGATCCCTTTATCAAGTACACTAGATTGTTAAAGTCTATCTAACATTATCTAACATTTTCCACAATCACTTAATTAGTTAGGTGGACTGCCTGTAGTTTTTGTTAAAAAAAAACAACAACAACACATTTCAATGCTGTTATTAAGGGGGAGCAGTGATCCACAAAATGCACACTATATAGAAAGTAGAATAGTTTTGGTATACTTGACTTTTTGACATTCTGTACAGACTGATATTGCTGATAAGCGATTTTAATGTGATGACTTCCATGTTGGTCCATTTTTCTATCAGGAAGCATGTTGCAGTACTGATGCATTATTAATGACATGCAAATGGATGATCCCTTTAATAGGTCCAGTTTACTTACACACTACAAAATGTGAAATCAGGTTGGCAACCATATTTTACAGTTTCAGTTTATAATGTTATACATCACAGTTTTAGATACAGCATAGTAAGGAATGTACACATGAGTCACCATTATAAAGGGAAGAATACAGTCACACACCAGGCTGTTTTTACATACAGTGTGCTGCAAAGCAAGTGTATCATTTGCACTGGTTGGGCAGTTTTAGTCACTGTTACTCATTCATGGTTCATGTCTTGTTTTTTACTCAGTTTAAAAATATAGCACGTTTGTCATACTCATATTTGTAACCTTTAAAGAGCAAAGAAATTATGTTTTACTAGTTTGGATTTTTACATGAATTGATATCAACATGAATTATTTAAATTTGTTTTATACATGCACGTGAATATATAAGTTTGGGGTCGACAAGATTTTTAAAAATGTTTTTGAAAGAAGTCTCTTAAGCAGTAACATTTTGAAATAGTATTACTATTTAAAACAACTTTTCAATTTTCATTTATTTTAAAATAGAATTTATTCATCACAGATCCTTCAGAAATCATGCCTATTTGGTGCTGAAGAAACACTTCTTAATATAATTTCATTCTTAATAATGTTAAAAACAGTTATATTTATGTAGTGTTTTTTTATTCTGTGATGAATAAAACATTCAAAAGAACAGCATTTATAGGAAATAATACATTATAAACATATTTAACTCACTTTTGAACAGTTTAATGCATCCTGAATAAAAGTATTAATTTCTTTGAAAAAAACAAAAAAACATTGTACTGACCCCAACCTTTTGAAAGGCAGTGTATAAATAAAAAAATAAATAAACGTATGTTATGTAAATATATTATGTGTGTGTGTGTGTGCAAGTAATATGCAATAATATTATTTAAATATTTTGTATTATATAGTATAATACATGATTATTATAATAATGTCATTATTTAAAAAAATAACATAAAATGAAGGCAAGCAATGTACATTGATGTCATATTTAAGATTGTGAAAAAATATATAGCACTTTTTGATGTGCCTTTTTTAATTAGTATATGCATATTTTGAAGCCATAAACTCAATTACAGTGAACTATACCTACGTAAATAAACAAAAGGCAAATTCCTAAAGTCCTTGATAAAAAAATCAAACATGATTATTGTAGTAATAGATGACAACAATGCTAAATAGATTCAGTAGAGGCTAAAATGGATGAACTGTATGGGATCAGATTCCCGCCTAAAGTATTGCAGTCACGAAAAAAAAAAATAACAAGCGTGAAAACAATTTAAAAATGCAAGTAAAAATATATTGCACAAGATTTAAAAATGAAAGCAAAGTTTATTAATTATGAATAAATGAATGTAATGTTTTTGCATTGACTAGGCTTGACTACTGATCAATTAACGTGATAGTGTTACAGAGGAGACAGTTACAGAGGCCAGGTGGATTTTATATCCACAATGATTTATTTGCATATAGTGACGTGACATGTGGCCAAGTGACCCATACTCGGAATTAGTGCTCTGCATTGGCCTCGCCCCCTTTGCTGCCTTTTCCCGAGGGCGGGGTTTATCTGGGTTTGTGATGTCACGAACCCGAGAAGTAACTTGTTGTAGTCCCTACCAGCTGTTTTTGTAGCCATAAACTGCCAGAATTTTAAAAGACGATATCTCCGTTTGCATTTAACTTTCAGCTAACTAACTTTGCAGATATTGTTTATGCTCAAACAGCAACATTACACACTAACTAACGTTAAAAAAGTAAAATCGCAATCAACCACCCCTTTAAATATATAAAGTTAGAATACAGCAACAATATGAAAGTAAAACAGCCAGCAGGTGGGGGCAAGTATCTTTAGAGTAAGACATTAAATCATTCATTCAAACAGATTCATTCAGTGAGGAATAAAGTGAATCATTCAATATAAGGCGGCTCTGTGTTGCTTGTAGGACACTGTTCCGCTGTGGCTTTGGACTCTTCATCAAGCAAAATGAGAAAATAGGTACAATATTCAACTCACTCAAAATGTACTTCTTGTTATATTGATTTTATACTACAGTTCAATAAAGATTTTCAATGGAGCTGATATTCGGGGAAAACACTCTTCCTCATGTGATATTGCTTAGCACAAAATGTGATCTGACAAGAACCTTATCAATGACATACTGTACATCAAAGAAAAAGCTGCAAAGCTGTTTACAAAAAAAAAACAATACATGACAAAAAATAAGCAAAATATTGCCTATAGACAGTTAACAATTACGAGCAATATACAGCAAACTAATCAATTGTGACTGGGATGTATTACTCTCTTACTCATATTATCCTCTCCTAACAGTAATAACCATAAGACTTATTATCAGTCAGGTATGGGCGAGCCAGGCACGAGGCCTCGAGGCCTGTGCTTATTGTGGCTGCTCCCTTCCACATCGGCCATAGGCGAATAAATACAGGTGCATATACCCACGACGGGTCACTAGGGCGGCTCATTTAACGTTATGGAGCTGTCAATCAAGAACTAGTGGACCAATGATGATGCTTAAGCCCGCCCTGATTTACAGGAAACTCTATCATTTGGAAAAGCAAGCGCAGAACATGGAAACAAGAGCGAAGGGAAAAACAGCATAAGCAGACAAAAATAAAAATATGAGCAGAAAATGTCTGAGAGCACAAAAAACAGAGAAATATAACCAAGGAAAACATGATTTTGTGTGCAAGTCAGACAAATTTGCATTAATATTTCAATTTTGTGCAATAAGATTTTAAACATGTTTAAAGTTTTGATTCATGCTTATTATTTAAAAAAAATGCGTTATTCATTTTTTGATTCACGCTTATTATTTTTCAATCCGTGACCATTGTTTGCTATTCTGAAAACTTTGCTTTCATTTTTAAATCTTGTACAATATATTTTTACTTGCGTTTTTAAATTTAGTTTTCACGCTTGTTATTTTTTTATCCGTGACTGCAATACTTTAGGTGGGAATCTGATCCCATAGGAACTGAACAGCTTATAGGGTGCATCATGGTAACAAAACCAGAGATCAATGTATAAGCACAATATGATGCAATGCTTAACAGTAGGCCTCCATGTGAGAGTATCCACATACGAGAGAAATTATATTGCACATTCATGTCTAAAGAACTTTCCCAGTACAGTTATGTTAATAACACCAAAAACACTCTTGAACACAACCTGTTCATACAGTATATAGACTCTGCACATGATAGATGACTGATTAAAAGATTTCATGATATAAGTTCTTCATGTTAAAACTCCAAGCTTGTTTCGTGTATTTAGTTTTGAAGAGTTTGAGTCTATGCTTAAACCAGTCTAAATATTTTGTAGAAAAGCCTGTTTTGATGCCATATAACGTTTACGGCGGTTGGCTCTATATACCTCCAACCGTTGGGCCTCTGCAGTGGGGTCTTCTAGAGCTCCTTCCCACCTCAAGCTGGCCTCTTCAAGATCAGTCAAATCAGATTTGTCCTCCTCTGTTGGAACCACTTCTGATACACACTTGGGATTTTTGGATTTGCTGTTCTTACGTTCTTTGGCTTTGGCCTGACCGTTGCACTGAGCATCACTCATCTCTCTGTTGGTCCACTGTTCTGTCTGGAGATTCTCTAGAGAAACAGAGAAACTATAGAATGTTTAAAATATATCACAATGCTTCTGAAACAATTCCAGCAACCCACTGGTCAACTAATGCACTAAGGTACCGAAGGAGGTAGCTTTCAACCAACACAAGTAAAATACTGTTAAAGAGAGACTTTGGAAATTAGGGCGACATGAGGGTGAGTAATTAATGACAGAATTTTCATTTTTGGGTG